TATCACTGTGTCAACATGTTTAATTTACTAAATTATAACTTATATTACGAACTAAGAAATGGCAGAAAAGGCGTCGGCATTATGCTATATGTTCACTTATCCCTGCATTTTAGCAGACTTCAAATATCAACTAAGGAATGCGAATGTATTAATGGCCAAATAAACTTAAAAAATGGCACTGTAGGCCTATGTGCTGTATATAGACCACCTGATACAAACAAAGTCCGTTTTATTGATGAGTTAGCTAATATTGTTGGTAAACATTCACCTAAAATTTGCTGTATAATTATGGGTGACATGAACTTAAATACAAAGAAGACAAACCTCATTAGCACTAGTTATCTTAACACACTTTGTGAATTAGGATTTGACCGTGGCATAACGCAATACACAAGAATAGGAAAATACGGGAACCGAATAACACAATCATGATTAGATAACATTCTGATTAGAACTGTATACAAGAACGAGGTGTATACGGCCGGCGTGAATATCGCACCTGCTGACCATAAAATAATAGGCTGTGCGATTCTCGGACTCGGAGCGGATTCGATCTGTGACTGTTGACTGACGCCGCAGTTTTATGTACTAATTGGTTGATGCAAGTATACAAAAACTGTAGTTATTAGTAAGCGCAATTGTTGTGAGTGGTCTAATAGGAAACTAGTATATATGTGTAAAAAACGCGATGAATTATTTAAAATCTTGCGGAAAGATGACAATAATTCATTAAAAAGATTAAATTACAATAAATATAGAAATAAAACTAATAAATATGCTCACTTTTTACGAAATCAAAATACTAAAAAAGAAATTTGCGAAAATTTTAGAAATCCCATAAAACTTTGACAATTAATAAATAATTTAACTGGTAAAATAAAACGTTGTATTGATGATATATTACAAAAAACATTTAATATTGATCCTAAAACATTAGCAAATAAATTTGGCTTAGAATTTGATAAAAATGTTAAAAAATATGCTTAAACTGTAACAAGCCACTCTTAGATCCCCGTTCCTATGAAATTAATCCAGATAGAACCGTAAAAATAAAAAAGCTACGGATGCTAATGTTACCAAAATTATTAAAACAATGAATGATAAGTAAAGCCCCGGGTTTGATGGTATTCGCGTTTGTGATATAAAATACATTTCGAAATCAATGGTGCCTCTTATTACATACCTAATTAATCAATGTCTAAAAACGTCTATTTATCCGGACTTACTAAAAATAGGTGTAATCCGACCAATCTACAAAAAAGGCAAACATAATGACTTTAACAATTATCGTCCTATAACTATTCTCTCCTGCCTAAATAAAATAATTGAACGTTATTTGAGCAATGAATTAAACAATTACGCTTATTAAATCCAATATAATAAATTCAAAACATTTCGGTTTTCAAAAAAAATAAAAGCACAACGCAACTATTTCGGCAATTTACTGATGAAATAAATAATTATTTAAATAATAAAATGCATTTTTAGTATTATTTATTGATTTTAGTAAAGGGTTCGATTTATTAAATTTTAACACATTATATAATAAGCTATCACGCTGCGGTATTCAAGGACCGTTCTAAGAACCTCTTAGGAGTTATCATCAAAATCGTTATACAACTGTCAAAATATATAACCAGACAGGTGATATGTTTGCGACTGAACGTGGCACAGCACAAGGTTCGATACTGGGTCCGACTGATTACTTGCTATTTGTTAACGATATGGTAAATGCAATAACTAAGGGCTCCACATATCAATTTGCCGACGACACTTGTATCGTCATTGCCGATCGTAGTATGGATGTAGCACAAACTGAAATGCAGGAAAGTTACGACATGCTATGTAAATTGGCACATGATGTCGGCCTAGTGGTTAACGCTCAAAAAACAGAACTTGTTCACATATACTCATCTCACAACAAAGTTGCCACCGCACCGATTATCATTTCCCACTCCATGGAACACTTCAACACTGTAATTGTCAACCCATTGAAAATGTCAAAAATCACATGTATGTTGGTCTGATTATTGATGAACGATTCTGCTGGAGAGCGCATAAAGATTACGTGTGTGCAAAACTTCGCTCTGTATTGAGTAAACTTTATGTTTTAAAATTTAAGCTACCATATAAAATACTTAGATTACTTTATATGGCTTTAGCAGATTCCGTCATTAGTTATGGACTTAGCAGTTATAGTAGAACTTATGTAACGTACATACAGAAAATTTACACATTACAACGCAAGATGCTTCGATGGATAGTGCCTAATCACATTAAAAATAAGTACATAGATAATGACCAGGGCCTTTTTAAATATTGCAAAGTCATAAATGTTTTCGATAAAGTTAAATTTATCGAAAACATTTATTAAATTTATACTGGCGGAAATTAATAATTCAGAATATCTACTTCTTAAAAAACGACCTGTAAATCTACGAAATATACCTTATAAATCCAACATGTATGTACTTCTGAAAACTAAAAATTTCTATGGAGCAAGAAAGTCCGCCCATCTTGTACCTACTTTTATTAATGAATTGCCAATAGAATTACAAGAAACTTACGGTAAATCCAAACTGTTTAAAAGTAAACTTAAATCATATTTATTAAATCAACTATACTTATTGTAGTAGGTACTTCTGTTAGAATAATGTAATTTAATATTAATACATCTTTGTTTATATAAGACGACTCTCTAGCTTAGATAAACCCCTAGAGTTTTACATGCTAGTATTGTACTGGATATTGTAACGAAATTATGGATAATAAATTTAAAAAAATACAAACCGTCTTAACACTTTCACGGACACTGGACACTGCACCAAGTTTGAAATATGACACTAAAAAATTCCATACAAATTACTTCCACGCCTATATACTTCCTGACACATAGCAATATATTTGTACAATTGTGGTGAGACAGTACGCTTCTGTACGTGGCCCGAAATAATCGTGCTGTCATATCGTAGTCAAAGTTATAGTCTTCTAATGACAGTACGCTTATGTACGTGGCACGAAATAGTCGTGCTGCCACGTCGTAATTTAAATTATGGTCTTCCAATGACAGTACGCTTATTTACGTGGCACGAAATAGTCGTGCTGTCACATCGTAATTAAAATTATCGCGTTCATATGACAGTACGCTTCTGTACGTGCCACGAAATAGTCGTGTTGTCGCATCGTGATTGATATCATCGTGTGCATATGACAGTAAGTCTCTGTACGCATCGCGAATAGGCGTACTGCTATGTTGCTATCAAGATTATGTGTATAAATAAGTGTAGTATGACAGTACGTCAGTTTACGTCCCTACCATAGGAATCATGATGATAATAATCAAAACTTTGTGAAACAAAAAAATGTTTTATTGAATAAATCAAAACTATGGAAAATCATATTTTTATACCAAACTTAAAAAAAAAACACAAAATAACAGTCTTATATTTAAACAAAAATATTTTCTTAACTTAAACTTGGTTAATAATTAACAAAACAAAATAATTATCAGATACGTCTTTTCTCTCGATTAACATATGATTATTATTTTTCTAGGTCTCCTTTTTTTTAATAATCTAAAAAACTAACTAACTTAAGCATAACAAACAGTCTTTTTTTTATGTAGTATCACAATATTTTATAAAATCTAGATTATCATAATATCAAGGATGACATTTTAAATAAGGAATATTTAAAATGTCATCCTTGATATTATGATAATCTATGTATTTATAAAATTACACTTGACAGTTTACAAATCTTTATGCCAGTCTTCGAAACATGAAGGACAAAGTGCTGGAGAATTATTGCAACCTTTACAGAAGTAACTTGTGTCACGTCGTACCTTTTGTTTCGAACATTGCTTACATGTCAAAAATGCGTACTTCTTCTTATAATTTGCAGATGGCATCATGCGAGTCGGCCAATGTCCATGGTTTCCTGAATTTGGCTGAGAAAAGTTGTCCTGCGTTTCTACTTTACTGCGTTCAATATTTTCATGAAGCTGTGATTCAGTTTGAAGCACATACCGCCTGCTGTCATTCTTGTTGGAATTTCGAATTAAATCTTTTCCTTTTTCTTCTTTCAGGCCGATCAATTTCCTGATTAACTCTTCTCTGTATGTCACATACTCATACTTCTTATCTTTTTTCACAAAATTTTTATAAATGTAAAAGGAATTCCAAACTGTGGTGTCCATAATATGAAATAGGACCTTTTTATACCACCTTATAGTTTTTCTTGGTGATGAATAAAAACATATCGTCTGATCCAAGCGATCAACACCAGACATGGATTTGTTATATCTGTTCACTTCTATGGGTTTAGTTTTCTTTTTTCCAAATCGGTTTGTGACTTCAATGAGCGCTGGATGATCCATGGTGGTAACCATATAGACGTCTCTTTTATCTTTCCAGGCACTTACATAGACTTTTCCTTTCCTAGCCCACACATGCTGGCCTTTTTGGAGTGTCTTTTGTACAATTTCTTTAGGATTGTCTTTTTCTTGTCTTACGCAGCGTGCCGTTGGTGTGTGTTTTCAAATCAAGTAATTTTTCAGAAAGGGTCACTGAATTGTAGTAATTGTCCATAAATAAGTTATGCCCTTTTAAAAGATATGGGCGCATTAAACACAGTACCAGTTTGTCAGTCCTCCTTTCATTGGCTTCAATATTTTCTGCTCCGCTATACATTATAATATTTAAAACGTATCCATTCGCTGTATTTAAAACGTAAAACTTTATGCCATACCTAGCTTTTTTGATTTTATGTACTGACGAAATATTAATCGTCCTCTATATAGTAGCAAAGACTCGTCAAGAGACAAGTCTTGACCTGGATTGAATACATTTCGAAAATTTTGAGTCACTGTGTTTATAAAACCTTCAATTTTTCCAGACCCTTTCGCACCTAAATCACCTACATACAGACATCTTAAAATTTGCTCATACCTTCTGCAAGACATTGTATAGTTAAAGACAGGGTGAAAATACAAGGGGTCGTCATATGTAAAAAAGTCTCCTTTGTTGTGGAACACGAATGTGACCATTTAATAAAGTAAGACCTAAAAATTTTTTCATCTCTTCAGGATTTGTTGCTCGAAAGGCAGCATTGCGTGCATGACGTGTATGTGGCCTATTTGTTTTGGTAAGAGCAGCTTCATAGGAATTTGTTCGTTCAACCAAATACTCTATCATCTCTGTGGTAAATAAATAGTCAAATACTTCCTCGCACGTGGTATTTTCATGAACTTCAAATGTCGGGCCTTTCTCTGGAGATCTAAAGTCAATAGAAGCAATATTTGAGACAGTATCTTCCCAAATTGTGTCATTTGGTGGAGGAGTCCCGCGACGTACTGTATTTACTGAACTTCTTCTTCTGCTCGGTCCAGCCTCATTTAAATTTGCCTGAGATTGTGCTTGATTTTGTGGAGATTGATCTTGAACTACCTCATTCAGCTCCTCTCTCATTCTAGCTGTAAGTTTTTCTTCTCCTCTTCTATCCTGAGAAGGCTCCTGAATTTTTGGAAATTGAACACCAATCACCTCATTAATCTCCAGACTCATTCTTATTTCTTCTTCGTCTTGTTGATTTCTATATTCCGGTAGCTCATAATTTTGTTGTAAGTGAATATCATTGTTATCTTTATGATTTCTAACTGCATTGTTCTCTTGACTTTCATACCTTTGAACGCTGCTTTCTTTCTCATTCCCTGCTACTTAAATTTGATAGTGATCGAAAATGCTACAATCGCTTATGTCGGAATAATGTTCGGTTTCATCAAAGCTTCTTTCATTAACAGAATTCTGGTCTAACTGCTCGCCATTATCGCTTTGATCGCCAGCAGAACTATGATACGACTTCTCGCTTTTAGACCCAATTCTTTGTCTATTCCGTTCAAATCGACTTCTATGAACATCGAAAATTTCACTGTAGTCACTGCTGCTATCTTCACCTTCATCAGCGAGCTCGTAATTGTGGTCTGAACCATATTCACCATCATCGTCAAAATATGGATCGTGGTTAGATTCATCATCTCGAAACAAAGATGTTGGCTTGCCTCTGCTCAATTTGTTTCTTTTTGAGGCCATCTGAAGACAATTGAAAGAGAATTAGACGCACAACAAAAGAAAAAATCGATACTTACCTACAAAATAATATGAAGTTTATTCCATTATATTTTTAAATTTATCGTGTTTTTTATGCTAACGGTTTTTTGATACAATAAGTATTAACCATTTTTGAAAGACTGGTTACTATTCGGTTATCTTTATACAGACAATAACATATTATAACACTAAATTACTTACCAGGAAAAACACGTAAGTATTCAACGAACGACGACGAACGATTTGACGCAAGCGAGCGTGTCCTCTCCTCCCGGTGACACTACGCGACTGGTTCGTTTGACTCACGACGCGAACGCAACGGCTACATTCGTGGTGCCACAACATGTGTACTATAGCAAAATTTGCATGTATGTGTAGATAGCACACATTTACTATCATAAAATTTTATGTTGTGACAGTACAATCTTGATACTGTTTGGGTTATGACAGTAAAAGTAGATCTTCATATTAACCGTAAACGAATACCGCGCTTATTTACGTAGTGGCAAATAAGGAAAAAAATATTTTATCGTAAATAGGCGTTGTGTCGTAATATAAATTCAGAATGTCACGAAAATGGGCGTACTGTCCGTGAATGTGTTAATACAATAATCTTACCTGTTGTTTGCTTCCGAATCTAGTCCCCAGAACATTTTTACATTCAGTTGTTTGAATATAACCCGTATTTTTTGCAATTACGTATATACATTATATCCTCTTACTTGAAAAGGGGTGATCTCCTCCCGGGCAAGTTGTTCTGCCCGGGTGCAATACTCCGTGTGATAGTATATTTTAGAGATGTTTGTGCTGTTAGCCTATGCGACTGTTACAGCTTGACCTGACTCAGGGACCTTGCAGGCCGCGAGCTAATTACCGTGTTGTAGTTCGGAGCTATTCTTTACTGTTTTTATTTCGGAACTTTGATAGCGCGATTTAGGATTCGATGTATTTCGTTCGTGGCGCGACAACAGCGCTGCCACATCACCCCCCTGTTCAGACCGGAGATCGATAGTGCAGCCCAATTACATGCACGTTGCATCCTTAATGCTGGTGGGGAATGCATGCCGTACTACGCACTTGCAAGTGATGCCGGTGATAACGATGGGCCGGAGCAAGTGCCAAGAGACTGCCTTATTAATCTGCGGTGAATCGATATGAAGACAAGTTGGAATGGCTTGCAGGAACTGTAGACTGCAGAAGACGATTCTCGGTAGTGAATGGGTGGGGTTCTTGAGGATAATGATGAAGATTTGAAGTTGTAGTTTCGGAAGGCTGTTGGTTGCGTGTTCAGATCACGTCGGGGTAACAACTGTGGCCGTGGAAGGAAAAGGGGAGATCTCCCGCCGGGCAAGGTGTTCTGCACGGGGAGCGGCCAACGCTTCGTGTAGTTCGGAGCTATTCTATATATTATAAACTGTTTTTACTTCTGAACTAGGTAGAAGAGTAAACCCTTACCAGAAAAACTTCTAGGCAGAATAGAAGCTCATTGGAATTTGCTAAACAAATAAATTGAAAACAATGAAGATATATTGCTCTACTTAGCTTATATTCTTTTTGTTCCAGGTAAGTACAAAACACGAGACACAAGAGTGACACGCGAAGCCCGCATTGACTAATGATTGGTTAAGTACTGAAAATATTCACTAAAATTCTACATGCAAAATTATAATTTAAATTCAATTTCGTTTAGTTAACTGCGTATAACCAAATATCTTACATTGCTCGTACATTTTGATATATTAATAAAAACCTACAATATATTATACCTACAATAGGAATTAAAGTTGCAACGACACGATAGGCGGATGTTCGGTAAGCTATTTGCTTACCACGCGTACTTATATCATAATACCAAAAATATTAATAGAATATTGTAAATAATTTCAAGTTCTAAATATTAAGTCAATCTATCATTAATAGAAATAACCATATTCATCGCTAGCTCTTAACACAAAAACTTCTGAAATATTTGTGTAAGTAATTTACTTTCCAATAAGTCTGAAATTGTTTATTAGTCCACGTGTATCTTATGCCCTTATGTCTTTATCTTTAGTATTGTTTAATCATTATGATAAGTTGTGAAATTAAAAATTTTGTACGGCGGACTTCAATATCAATAAAATGAGAAACATCATCATTGTGGTGGATGACAATTAAATACGCATTATCAAGGATAACCCAAAAACTACTGATCAGATCTTGATCAATTTTATACGGCACCAGATGAGAAGCATCAATTTTCAAATAAAAAAAGAATCATCAAAATCGATTGATGAAGAAAAAAGTTCTGAGGTAACACATACGAAAAATATAGTCGAATTGAGAACCTCCTCCTTTTTTGGAGTCGGTTAAAAGGGAAACTAATCCCCCCAATTTTTTTTAAATAATGAATATAATTTTGAAAATATTTAATAGATACTGCTAAGGCTATTAAGCTTAATAGAGATGTATCAAACTGTAGTGCTTGTGTAAATCAGGCTTTAAGTTTTAACTTGCAGCAGACGTCCCTTCTTTTAAGAAGGGACGTCTACAGGTACAATATACGAGTGCAAAATAATATAAATTCTTCACAGAACTGCTTTCGCTATAGTAGTGTTTTACAAGTTTTACTGCTTTGAAATTATCTTTGAGGATGGTGTATTTGTATAAATTACATTTAATCATGATTTATTTATTTGTTTTAAGTACATTGCTAATACATTCAAGTGCAAAATAGTAATAAAAATAATTACTGAATGAAAAACGTGATATAACGATTCAAATGTATGTGTTTCATACAAAAAGAATGAAAAAATAATTAAAATTTTCAGCGCTTATGCACTAGTCTATCGGCCGATATACGAGTATAATAGTCGACAGTTAAACTGTTTTATAAATAATCGTAGACAGTAAACAGTCTCGTTTCATTCATCGTAAGAAACGTCAGTGGTACTCGTAGGTACTTACTACTAATAGGAAAGATACTCGTAAGATGAAGTTGTATGTCAAATGACAACTTTTAAGCGAGCGATAAGCACATTGTCCCATCACCAGTGGGATGATTATTACTGTATTATTACAATATAGTCTAAACATACATTCACGATATTAATTATTTTGTTGCTTCGGTATGTGCTAGATCACATTACTTCATCATCATCATCTTATAACTGAATGTAGAGTTTTTTTATAAGTGGTAAGACATTGCTTGACTTCAATCCCACTTGAAGATAACTCAAATCTTAATTTCGATTAAGAAATAAATCATGTAAATGCCTTTAAATTCCTAAAGACCAAGATAAGATTAATTTCCAGCCAAAAGGGTTTCTTGTTCCCTTTGATCACAGATATTTACCGCTAGTGTTCTTTAGGAGAGTGATTCTTTCCGATAGAGATTAACAAATTTGTGCTACCATAATAAACTTCAGTGTATCGCTAATCTTGTACTGTGTAAGAATATCCACTACCCCATATACCCAAAATGATACAGGAAATGGGCAGCAGCAACAACTCCTCCTGGTAACAACTCAAAATAATAAAAAAATCTGCGGTTGCTAACCCGCCTGCCAAGGTGGCAACTATGGCAGTCCTCCGTATGACACAATCTATGAGGGAGGCCTATGTTCAGTAGTGGAGTTTTATAAGATGCAAAGGTAATGGTAGAATCCAAGGGGAAGGCGTTTGCTTTCCCCTTGGATTCTACTGCCTCCACCTGATTAGTTTGGCACAAAGTTCATCTTTCAAAGTTTCCTTCACAAGGGATTCCCAAAAAGATTTTCAATTGTATGACCAGTTTTCTTGTGGATAGGAGCATCAAGGTCGTATTTGACGGTGCATGCTCCGATTACAAGTACATTAACACTGGTGTTACACAAGGCTGCGTTCTGTCCCCAACGTTTCCTCTGAATATCACTGATATGTTGCAAACCAGTAATATTCATTGCTATGCGGACGACAGCACTGGTGATACTTTATACACTGGCCGTGCCAATATTTTTTTGGGAAAACGTAGCCAAGTACCGGAACAAGCTTTCATCCTATGTCTAGACTTTGTTGAATAAAATATCGGACTGCGTTTGACTAAATCTAGTTCAGTTCAATCCCTAGAAGACACAAGTTTGCACGTTTACCGCTAAAAAGTACCCCTTTGTCGTATCTCCTTAATTTCAGGGCACTACCCTTGTAGACTCAACCAGTATCGGAAGCTTCGGCGTCGACATACCGAGTGACGTGCAGTTACGTGGTCACTTGGAAGAGAAGATCAAATTGGTTTCTATAAAGCTTCGCGTGCTCAGAAAAGTGCGACAGTATTTCATGTCTGTATGTATCACACCGCCTGCAATTTAACAAGGCGAAGGTTAGGCATATGGAATACTGTTCCGCTTACATACTGTTCCTTAGTGCCATCTGCTTCCATTTGATCGTATCCAGCGCGGAGCGGTTCGAATCATCGGTGACCGAGTTTTTTCTGATCGAATTGACTCACTTACACTGCGAAGAGATGTTGCATCTATTTGCGTATTGAATTGCATCCTCCACACTCTGAGTAATTGTTTGGACTAATTCCAGCTGCTAAATTTCACGTTCGCACATCGCGACAAAACTCGCGATACCATTCGTATCATTTGGATAATTGGTGGTCCACCGCTGTGCGATTTGGAAGTATATTTTTTCTCGTAAAACTTGCTTATGGAATCGACTACCACCAGAGATTTTTCTGGACTGATACGACTTAGGAATCTTCAAGAAAAGATTCTACTCTTTTTTTAAAGACTGGTAACGCATCTGAAATTCCCCAGGTATTTCAATTGTTATTGGGCGGCGGTAGTCACTTACCATCGGGTGAGTAACATGCTCGTTTGCCCCCCATCTTAAAAAAAATATTCCAAGATTTTCTATATGGATCATGATGATGATATGATTATATTATTTTATGATTATTATTACTTTACATTACCATTATATTTTACATTGCTTGCATACATTGATTAATATTACATTGCTTTTTTCTTGTAAGTGGCCTATAAAAATACTAAGCTATTGGATACATATTTTTCCTTTCTAACACCTAGGTTTGGAAATTAAATTCTGCTTTAAGCTTTTTAAATACACGCATAGAATTACTAATTAACTTTTCATACGAATGTAAGCAAAAAAGTTAACGATTTATTACGCCTACGATTTGATAAGTATGTTATAACCCCTTATTTAACGTCGAATGTTAATAAGGTTTAGCAATTACGAAAAAAGTTCAACTGCGCTAAAGCAGAATTTTATATCACAAAGAGCGTCTCGTTATTAGCAGTATGCCCGAAGGCATCGTTAACAGCCATACATATTAAAGCATTGTACATAATTCAAAAGTA